CCTTGGTGGTATCGTACTTGAAACTCACACCCAATGCAATGCGGCCTTACAAGGTGTTGACTCACGCGGAAAGAAAACAAACAAACAAACAAAAAACAATGACTGGACGGGCCCCATTTCAGTGGTGCGTGGGAGGCAAACCAAAAAGCCTTGGTCAAAGTGCAACACCTTGAGCTTTGGAGTTACCCTCTTTCCAACAATCATGGAAGTGCACAAAGGGGTTCCCCAAAAGGAAAACAGTCTTCCAAAGCTCCCCTGTCAACTTCCATGATTGTTGGAGGGAGGAGTTAGATGCGACATTTGCTCATCCATCTTCGTCGAGGGCATTCCTGGCACGTGCGCCTGGAAGAATCTCGACCACTTTGAGTACTTCCATTTGCTTCAGTCGCATGGGAAAAAAGAACATTCCAGTAGTGATAGACTTGAACCCAGCAAAAGAAAAGGCAACAACATGATCAAAGAACACAGCAGACCTATATATATATATGTGTCTTTCCATTTTGGGGTTGCGAGGAAAGGAAACCATTTGGGTATGGGTCAAGATTAAACCACCAGGATATGGACCGCAGGTTTTAGCCCATGTTTGCATTTACCAACCCATTCTGGGCACGTAATTTTGACCCGCAGCCATTTATTTTGGGTGGTCCCCCTTTAAGCCAAACCCAAATGGCCGTGGGTCAAAAACCAAATCGTACCCCCAGTGAACATCCCGATCCCCACGTAAATGGGTGGTGCACCTTTGTACCCCAAAACGGTATCATTGGTTTTGATCCACAGCCAAATGAGTTCCCATGCCTCCCTTGGCCCCCCGGCTTCGGCGCGCCGCCGTTCGGCTTCGGCGCGCCGTTCGGCGGCCATCTGCCGGCCGTGAAATTTCCGGCCGAAGGTCGGGTCAAGGGTCAGAGCCAAAAGGCTCAAGGGACTCAGTTGTCCCTAAGACCCTGGAAAAAAAGGGAACCCTTTGTGGAGCTTGGGCCATTTTTAGTGGAGCAGCCACCAAAAAAAAAGGAAAAAGAGTGCCACTGAACAACGTGGAAGGTTATGAATGAAGTCGGGGTCATATTGTGGATCGTTGAAATCGAAATCCGAGACCGCGCGACTTTGAAACCATGCAGAATCGCGTCAATCCGCAACACTACCCTCCAAGATATTTGCAAAGGGTAAGATAGGCCATTGCCCCCCCATGAAACCAGGCGGAATCACCCACCAAAGTGCCCACAGCGATCCGGGAGCTTTGCTTGGGATTTGTTGCCGGAGCAAAGAATCAGGCTTTTCGCCAAATGATTGGGGGGGGGGGGGGGGCTGTAAGCAGCATTGCAGTTACTTAACCTTGTTGGACCTCGAGTAAAAAGGGTTGCCAAAGTTGGAAAACCCAAAGGTCAAGGGGGCGACTCGCGACTCGGACAAGTGAGAGTTGGGCAAAAGTTTGGCCTGCACCATTCCAGTCATCCACTCTATGTTTACCCAAAAGAGCTGAACCGATGCCTTGGCGCGGGGGTTGGTTTAGGATGGGAAGGGTGGGTGTATGGTTGGCTTGGGGTTGCTTCGGGTGGGCTTCGGGTTGCTAAGTTCAGGGTGGGTTCATGTTGAGGGTGGGTTTGGGTTTGGAAAGGGCGGATGGTGGATCCGGGGCTGCTTTAGGTTAAGTATATATAGGGTGGGCTTTTGGCTGGCTTGACAGTCAAATCCCATGCTGAAGCGTCCGAGCACCGGATGCAGTTGTCGTGCGACTGCTCCTGAATGTATTCAAGATCGGTACGTCGTCTGCAGCTTGCCGTCATCGTGACCTGCTCCAACAGAGCTGGAAGGCCGGCTTTGGCACCTGGAAAGCCAGAGAGTGTCTACCATGGTCTTGGTCGTGGTTGAGGCAGAAGTCGATGAACCTGTCTGGCTCTGAGACGTTCCAGATTCGTCTCCGCGAACCCGACTTGCGCTTCATCACAAAGGCTCCCAGAACTGGCCCTATGAGTCCAGTCACGACCGCCATTTTGTGAAGACAAGTCCAACCAATCATGGAACCCATGATTGGGTTGTAGGGCGCGGGCTATCCCTAGATAAGCCAAGGATAAGCCCTTAATAAGGCATTAAGCGATAGCAGATGATCGCACCACCCGCTCCCCATAAGTTTTTCTTGGGGTTCATGAACCCCTCGCAGCCAGGGTAGGGTCCTGTCGCCTTGCTTTGGACAAGTTTCACAGGTGAGGCACTCGTCACAAAACCCTAGGGCCTTATGCTTTTGCCGGATCTTGGACAAGCTCGTCCCTAAGGCACTAAGCGACTCTTTGCACCCAACCCCACAACTTGGACCCTTTAAAGTTCCCACGACACTCTGTTGCCACTTTTAGGGACTGGTCCATACATGTCGACTCTTCCAAAGCCCAGCGATCCTCTATGATTCTTGCCAAATGTCTGGGGAAATTAGAGAGCTCCTTGGCTCGCTTCCGAGCGTGATCTTCCAAGGGGCCTGCTCGGCTTCTAGCGTGTCTTTTCAAACAAATCCGTCCAAGTCCCAGTGAGCAAAGGACAAATTCAGGCACACAAGCCCCCTAAAGACTGGTTAAAGGTTCGGGGTAAAGCCTCATGAAGATTGGAGGCTCTGACAAGACAACCAAACATACCTGACCTGCCCTGCAAAGTGCGCTGTGCACTTGGGACACGTGAGTTGCCTAGGATGAACCCGTAGTTGCCTTGGCCTTGGGGCATCTTTCTGGGCCAGACTTGGGATTTTGTGGAGAAAGCTCACTTGGTGCTGGTTGAAAGAGAAAACTTATGAAAACCCAGGCACAAAGTCACAAAGACAGCCAAGTATCGCTATGCCTTGGCGGACTTGGGGGGGTGGGGGCGAGCAGTTCAGGGTTCCCGAGATGTCCAGCTATAACCATCGCCGCTACCAAGACAAAACTCACCTGAAACTGGGCCAAACAGGTGATCTAGGCCGACATCTGGGGTACCGAAAATCATATCTTCTGACTCTGTTTCATAGTTTGCCTTCCCCCAAAAAGTTAAAACAGCAAATACTGATGGACAAAATCCGCTTCGCACCAGGTGCCAGGTGGTGTATCCCATTCATGGAGGCTCATCCGTAACTGCGAAGCGGATGTGGTCCATCATGGTCCATCCACGGAATTTTCGGAGGAGACGCCAAACGGGGGAAAAATGCGCCCAGCATCGCCTCGAGAACATGGCGAACGCCGCCGGATTGCGCAAGGAGCGATCCGGCCGCTCGGATTTTCTGGGACAAGCGAAGAGAAATCCAGGGCCGCTGAAAACGGGGCCATATGCTTCTCACTTCCTGAGTGGACAACTGCTGGTTTACCGCTGAAGTGATCTTCACAAAAAAGTTGAACGTCCAAAAACTCAAGGATCCAACAACAACCACCCACAAGGATTTGGATCCAAATCACCAAAAATATTTGGGCGATGTTTTGGAGGGCCCTCTTTAGCTTTGGGCCCCGCATCCTTCGCGCAAAACCTCCGCGTCTGAGAGGGGCTTCTTCGAGCCTTGGGACTTGCCGCCTTCGGCGCGCAGCTCCCAAGTCGGCTTGAGGTTGAAGCGGCGGCGCGGCACGCGAGTGCGCGGGCGAGTGCGCGGGCGAGTGCGCGGCGCGGCGAGGCGTCCCTGCTGAGTGGTTCCTTTTGGTGCTTTGGTTCTCGAGGAGACCATGGTTGTCCTTATGTCAACGTCGGATTGGCCTCAAGGAAACACCACTGAATCGCTGGTGGTATGCCACGGAATCTAGAGGAGGAGCCCCTTATGTGTGTTGATTGGTTGGCCATTGGCGTAGGCGGACAGCGGGCCTACAACAAGGTCCAAAAGTCCTAAGTTGCGAGATACAAGCCCCAAAGCGAAACCCAGCAACCTGCAACCCCGATTGCTATAACCCACATCAAAGAAGGTAGTAGAACCACCCTCTAAAATAGCCAATGGCGGAAGTTGGGTGGTGCTCAAATGTTTTATTGGACCCAGCCATCTTACCGAGGCGAACATGACCATTCTGGTATCACTTCCGCCCGCTCCACTCTGCCAAGCAGGAATGGTGGCAGTCGGCAGTCCAGCCGCAAAAAACGACGCTTCAAGTTTGGGCTGCCAATAGAAACGCAATCCATGTAAGTTCAAAGGGCGGCAACCAGAACCTATTTGACGCTGGTGACTATACCCCTTCATCTGCGGATCTACCGCCCGTTTTGTGGCTCAATAACTATACCCCCAAGGACCTGGAAGGAGCAGACAGTCTCCTTTGCGGACCTCAAAAATAAAGGGGAGCAAGCGTAGCGCAAAAGGCCGTTTCGATCCAAGTACGCATTTGAGTCCAGTTGCCCAGTGATCCTGGTGGGTCTGCCATCTTTGGGTCCCAAAAAATCCAGCAGACAAGGAGGAGTTGGATGGATGTCTGGGGCCCAATTGAGCAAACAAGAAGGAATTTGATGAATGCGGCCTGGATGCGACTGAACAAACTGGTTCTTTTATTTGACGGGGGGAGCCTCTGGACCTCGTGTGATCGTCTCCAATTCGATCTCCGGCCTCAGAGATCTTCGACTTCACCGTAAGTTACGAGGCTTTTGTGGTTGGCTTGCTTGCCATGAGCTGGCATCCACCAAAAGAATTATAAAAACGCAAGCAGGCGGGTTCCAGGGGTTGAGGAGGTTTGGGGGGGGGGGGGGGCAGGAGACGCAGTGTTGATTCTCCTTCAAATGGTTTTCCAGAAGGTCTCCCTCAATGCTGCAGCACCTGGGGAGCGGTGGTTTTCCTTCCAGGATCTTGTAACTTGAGCAGCTGGGATTTTTTACGCACATGATCCCCCCTGTGCCGCAAACAGTGGCTCTCAAGTATCCCAGGATCCCATTCTAATTCTTTCAGGCCTATATGGGTGTGGCTCAAAATGAAACAGGAGGGGTTACGCAGGTTTTGGTCCATGTTTCCACTTACCAGGGCTCCATGTTGGTACCGGTTTTTTGAGCCACGGCCGTATAGTAGGGTCTTCAAAGGACAACCTGAATCGTCACGGCTTCGAGCCAAAAGCTTGGAGCGCGCGATGCGCTCTGTGCCACGGCTTCTCGGAGACCCTCTGGCACGGAGCAACCCTATTCGACCAAACAGGGAAAAGATTTGTGCGAGTGGCTTACTGAGGGTACAGTTGTTTTGCTTTGAAACCACCATTTTTGTTGGAGGGTGTCGTCCAATTTCGACACATACCCTCGGTTGCTTTCTGCTCCCCTCCTAAAAGTTTAACTTTTAGTGGTTTAATGGAAAACCCATTAGTTGGCAAAAAGTTATTAAAGTCCTAACATCCAAGCAAAATGCACCAAGTGAGCACTCAATGCGATTGCACAAGGGCAGGGCCCCCCAGTTGCAAACTAAAAGACTGGGGCTGCCTCCTCGCACGGGTTGCAACCCCCTTTCTGCAAGAATCATTTGGTTGCGGTGAAGTCACCCTTTCCAAATCTTCTTCAAACCCTTGGCATCACATGTTTTTGTTTAAAACCAAACCTCAGCTTTCCACCAAACTAACTGGGCTCCCCGAGGTTCCGCTAAGAAAACCAAACCTTCCATTTGGTTGAGACCCCTAGAAAAAAGTTAAAGCACACATGTCCAGTAGTGATAAATTCCTTTTAAAAACCAACAAAGGACTATTTAAAAAAAAAAAAAAAAAAAAAAAAAAAAACACTTAAGCAAATGAAAGAAACGGACTCGAGGCCAAAAAAAGGGGGCGCAAAGGTCGCGCAGAGCTGGTCCAGCGGCGTGGCGATGTCCTCCGGCTCGGCGCCCTGAAGCCGCAGTCGTCCGTTTCGGGCGCTCAGGGAAGGAGGGAATGAACCCGGGCATAGGTGGCCTTTTGGAGAAATAGATGGCCCTGGTAAATGGAACAACACCCATCTAAACCAGTGCCACCTATTTTTAACGGGATGGCGAAACCCAAATGGGGGATGTTGCCCTCCAGAGGAGGTCCCTTTCCTTTACAGGGGGTCCATTCTTAACCCCAAGCCAAGAGTTCCCGGAAAAAGGGGGCGACCCACAGGTGCCTGGCTTTTGAGGTGGTGCGAGGGGTGCTGGTGCTCAAATGAGGGAACGAACCCCGGGGTGTCCCTTAAAGGGAACCAAATCGGGCATGGTTTTCATCCAATTCTCATTTCTAGGGGTAACTTCCCCATTCTTAACCCAGGGATCCGATTCTTTCTAGAAAACCACCTTTGAAACCCTGAAAACGTGGCGATCGGGTTTTGAAAAGAACGATGGCTGAACAGAATGGACAAGGACTCAACCCCTAGATTGGTGGTGGGTTTTGGGCTTGGTTTGCTCTTTGGTCCAAGTTCGGAGTTCGGAGCTTTGTTCTGGAAGTGCGCTTTTGGGTTTTTTGTGGCTCTTTGGCCCAAGTTCTTGGGAACGCTTCTTGGTGGAAGCTGGTGCTTTTCTTGCTCTTGGGGTGCTCCTGAAAGACATGGAGCCAGAAAAGGGGGAGCCAAGGCGCTTCCACAAAAAGACGATGGCTGCGGAAGGCAAATGCTGGGCGTGGAACTGACCCTCAAAGCAAACGGGCGTGCCTTTGCTGGCTCTCAAGGGGCAGGTAGAGGAGACAAGAAGCCACGGACCAGGTTGCAGCTGGATGATTTTCATGACTCATCTGGGTGGTTCCAAAAAATGGGGGGGGGGGGGGTTGCCTTCTTCGACGCGTTTGTTCTTTCGGGAAAGACGAAATCGGCCCAAGCCGGTCCGCCTTCTCCCGGTCCGGAGGCCGCCGAGCCGGCCGAGCCCCCCAAACCCGACTCGCGCCTGAAAGACCTCGCGAAACTTTGCCAGCGGAATGGACCGCGTCTCCTGACATCGGGGGGGCGGACCAAGGCTTGGAAAGGCTTGTTGCGCCCTAAGCTCGTTCAAAGGGTGAGTGGATTAGCCAAGAAAGTTTCAACCTGAAAGAGTGCAGACCCAACAAGTGAGCCAAGCACCCTTGTGTGTGTGTCTTTTCCGGATTACTCTGGCCCGCCCGCCCAGGGTCTGACCACAGCCAAAAGTATGCAGTAGCGAGTTTTCAGAAACTCAGGGAGTGAGCGTATCACAGAAAGTGCCTATTGAACCTATAACCAAAGGTCTCTAAGTCTAGAATTGAGGTATTGCGTTGCATGAAGTGAGACTAATAACAATAATCAAAGCCCGGGTCCCCCGCCAGAATCGCGGCGGCGTTTTTTGCGCGCCTTGCTGATGACGATCTTGTAGTTCCGCAGCTTGCGGTCCTCGGTCCGCTTGCAGCTTGCGCTCACAAGGGAGCGCCGAACAAAAGGAAACTGAAAAGAACAAAAGGGAAGTTGGGGAACAGGTTGCACGATCCCAAGAAAAAGCAAACCCCCTGAATCCTGAAACAATGCAAGTGGGATGAATGGGCCCTGAGTTGACTGGCCAGCACCGGTTAAGCTGGTTGGCCCTCTGAAACAGGGCAGCTGGTTGCCCTTGTCTCAAGTGGATTTCAAAGTCAAAGCTCATGATCTTGACTTTGCATCGCCAGACCCAAGGAGTACCCCTCCTCCCTCACCTGCCATGGGGAGGGTACCTGGAAGATCAATTTCCTCTAGGGCCCCTTGTCAGGTGCCATGGCAATGTGGGGAAGGGCACCCCATTCAGTGCTCAACAGAACCTCCCCTCCAAACAAGGCTCCAACCAGGGCTGTCTTTCTGGGATACCCAAAACTCCAGAGTGTCCAAGATTGGCGCGAAAGGTGATGGACGTCGCCACAGAAAGGAAGGGGAAAACCAGTTGGGTGCGAGCTGGGCAAGTATTAGGCATGACTGAATCAAATTGGAGGAATTGTGCCATCTACTTTCACCCAGCTGTAAACAGGACGAAAACAAAACCAGGGTTATCACAATTCAACAGGCTAAAATTAGAAATCCCTATGAAAGGAAACCTTCATCATGGGTGACGACGCAAAGCCCTGAAAGGTCAAGTCGCTACAACTTGCCCCCTGAAAATCAAACAGCTACAGCAGCTACCTTCCAGGCTGCCGGATTGATTGAACAAGGTGCGTCAGTTGGCAGTAGGATTCATTCAAAGCTCAGCTTCAAAGCAAAATACGCTTTCCTTTCCTGACGGCAAACTTTGCAAATCCGAGGAGCAAAAGAGCAGGTGCAAGCGCGCAGCTGCCCATCCACCTTGCGGGGGAAGCAGGTACTGATCAGGGGGCAGGGGCTGATGCTAGGTGCATGTGGGTACATGTGTGTGTGTGTCTTTCCTGTTTAAGGGCATCCTTTCCGGGGCGTGGTTCAACTGGAAGACCAAACGGAACCACCGTGAGCTGCGTCAGGAAAGAGAATCTATCACGAAGCATCCAAAGCTATCAGATAGCTCCTGGGGTGAAGAAAGGTACCAAGGGAAGAAAAAAAACAAACCTATTTTGGGGTTCCCCAGTTTGGAGACAAACCCATGGTGTGTGTGTACAATATCAAGCTATGTTATGCCTGTGTTTTTTCCTGTCTAGTGTTATTTTCATTTGTTTACACGTCTGCTTTGCATATTACTTCTTGAGTATATGTCTGCCTTCAACAGGCACCCAATCTGTACCCCGCCGCCCTTCGCGTGCCCCAGTGTGCCACCAAATTGATGATGGTGGATGTTTTCATTCCAGTACCGAGTGTCCCATGAATAAATCGCCACTTGAAAGGGGGATTTGCTGGAAAGCGGGACGGGGAAAATCGACATTGTGGTTTGACATCTTCGATATATATATATATATACATTTATATTTATATATATATATATATTTATGTGTATATCATACACATATATTGAACATGGGACGCTCGGTATTTCAATGAACAAAACCACCGTCATCAGTTTGGCGGCACACCGGGGCACACGAAGAACAAAAGCGAAGGTACAGATTGGGTGCATGTTGCAGGCAAACATTCTTGGCTTTGAATGTCATCCGACAAGAAGGATCACGGGTCGCCAATAGCTTGGGGGCGCGATGGTCACAACCCAAGGGAAACCAAGGGGTGTGTGCACCAAGTTGTTTGGTTGGTTTAAAGGGAAGCCACAGCGAAAACTAGCCACTTTCCCGGTACCCCTTGCTCGAGACAAACTTAAGGGGAAACCAGTGGGATCTTCAAATGTTCACGGCAAGTCCCTTTGTTTCTTGGCTTCGTTGTGGCCAAAAAATGAACCAACGGCTTTTGCAACCGCCAAAACTCCAGCGCTTTTCTCCGCATCGGGCAAAGCGGGCGAAGCGGGCGAAGCGGGCAGAGCCGCGCTTTTCGCCCGGAGCAGAAACTCCTCAGCGCCGGGGCAGGGGCGTTCCCAGGTGCGGGGCCGATACAAACGGTGGACGCATAATTTTTGTGGATGGACGAAATCCTGCACTATCTAAGAATGATTTCCCAGGTTCAACAGTGGTGCGAACGGAGTTCATCCATCAACAGTATTGCAAGCACCCGAAGCAAAAGCCCCAGCATCCTACTCAGTGGACAGGGAACGGACTGGCCACCCGCTTTTGGTCGTCAAAGCGAACCCCATCCAACGAGGAACAAAGGCGCCGTGTGGCCCTTTTCTGCAATCATGTTGGGCGGTTGATAAAGTCAACGCACGAGCGACCAAATACCTCCATTTGTCAAAGACCACCTGGAAAAAGCATGTTTTCCAGTAGTGACAAATTCCCCGTTTAAAACCCAAATGAAAGTACGAAGTGGTGCTGAAGCAAAATGGATCAATCTGGTTCTGTGAAATGACCAATTTCCGTGATACCTATGGCTACTCTATCGCTTTCAGAGTGGATTCCCCTCCACTCAAGGGCAGTGAGTGGCATCAAAATCAGAATCCATTTTCTACCAGCCTCGGAAAAAACTGGAATGACTGACTTGGAATGACGGGAACCTCTGAACATGTGTTTATTAATTGTCTGCATCCAAAAAAGTAGAAGGGACAGGGGGTTCGTTCTCAAACCAGGGTCGCCCAGTCAGGACATCACGTCTGCCACCCCTGCTGAGACGAAACCAAACCAACCCGCTTCCCTGAAATTCAGGCAAGCCACTAGGGGTTCATATAACCACCATTGTCTACCTATTGTCATCATCCAAATTGGGTCCTTGCCCTTCTTTCAATGGCGGTTCAAATCTGCGGGCTTGATTTAGCCCCCCCCCAAAACCAAACAACAAGCGACGCGCTCCGTGAATCACCCCAGGCCCCCCCAAACCCCAGCGACGCTCCCTCCTGCAGCGCCTGTCGGTACTGCTCCGAGCCGGACACCTCGCGGCGATTGCGCAAAAAAAAGAGGAGACGGAAAAAAAACAGCGCTGGGAAAAAGCTGAGGGGAGCAACTCACCTCCAGAAAAACTCTGTGCTCCACGAATCTTCCAAATAAAACTCCTACTGGGGAATCTTTTAATTTCCCGCTTGGCTCTGAAAACCCTGAAACAAGGGCAAAAACATTGGTTTCTGGCTAGAGGAACCTGATGGGAACCACTAATTTTCTACGAGTACTTGTGGGTGGGAAAATCGTCTTGTGGCGGATCGCTCCTTCAGCATGCCTGATCCTCCATTTGCTTAAGTCCCCTGGAACAAAATGATCTTTCTAGTAGTGATAGATTCCCTGTAGAATGAACAGGGGTAAAGAACAAATATTATTGTGATTCCATTGATGAGTCGCATGAATTAGCATGCAAGATCAGCTGTTGAATAGGGGCTCTTGAAATCTTGACAATTGCTCATCCCACTTTGGCTTCCTTTCACAAAACAAGAACACAAAAACATGTGGGCTTCTCGTTTATTTGGAGGCAACACTTTGTTTCTTGGTTTAAAAGAGACACCAAAAGGACCCTCCCAAAAAAAAGACACCCCCTATGGCCTCACCCAAGTAACCCCCCCCTCCCCGGCCCTCCCCGGCCCTCCCCGTTTCCGGGCCCGACCGACCCGCGCCTCGTTGTGTCCGAGGCCCTCAAGTAGCAGAAACTGTTTCTCCGCCTTTCAGTGACCCCAGGCGCGCGAAGGCCGGTCCGGGCTCAGAGCGCCTTCTGTGGCTTCCTTTTTGCTTTTGCTGCCGAGAAGGAACCCTTTGAGACACAAAAGGGGAGCACCTGTCGCCGAGCTTCAAAACAGGGGGGAATGAGTTCTACTTGATAATGGCCCCTTTGGTGGGCATTGATGATGTTTGATATGGGGAAAATCTAACGAAGGGACAGACTTCTGGAATTGCCAATAAATTAGGAAGTGAGCAACCCCTGTTGAATTAACCCCCAGTCTGTCTCTTTCCGAAGCCCCTGATTCCAAGCCACTTGGTTCATTCCCGGGCTGGCATCCACTCTACCCATCAAAGAGCTCTGTAACGAACCATATTAGGCGTGTATGGCTAGGGTGGTTTTGCAAGAGGAACCAACTGGAGACGACATACTTTGGCTCGCGCTTGGAGACCAACCTCTGCCTGGAGGTACAATGCTCATCTCCGGGCTTGCTCCCGTGCAAACGTTTCGGGAATCATCCCATGCAAAAAGGGAACCGTTTGCTGCCTGAGAGAAGATGAAGGCAGCCCAAAGGGGCGGAGGGCAAAAGATTTCCCATGTTGCAATGGTACCTTTGCACCAGACACGGAAATCACACCTCGGAAGACGACGTTCTGCTTCAGGAAGTCTGTGCACTTCCATGTTTATACTTGGGTGCTCGATTTGCCAAGTTAGCATGTTGCTAACTTGCTCGAATATCAGTCCCCTCTGAGTGGAGCTAACGTTGCCATTGGTGAGTCATAGAGGTGGCCAATCGCTTACGAACTTGGCAACAAACACCCAAGTAGGGAGGGCACTTTGGAGGTGCGTAAGCAACGGGCGCGCCCCGAGTGGACTGCAGCCTATTCCGAGAAACATCTACATGTTTCTGATTTGATTCAAGGGGACCTAAGCAGAACCAGAGCCTCGTTGGTTTTGACTGGGGGGTGCCGGTGGTTCAGAACCGCGTTTCTTGCTGGTGCGATAGGGAATGACCGCTCCGGGTGTTGGCAACGGGGGATTCCCTGCAAGGGAAACCAAATCGGGGATGGTTAGGAGATGTTTTGTCTCGGGGTCATCCCATGTCTCACTCCCTGCTGAGAACCAGCAAGTAAAGCATCACCCGCCCTTTTGCAGCAATTCGAATCTGTGCCCTGGACATGATGTCGCTGCTTCGATTTCCGTCTCTTGCGAACTCGAGTTCGCCAACGAATTGCTGGCTCGATAGCCCGAGGCTCCGGCCGCACCGGCGGCTAGGAAGCACTCTCTGGCGTGCTCTGCGGGGCAGACCACGTCGGCCTGGCTGCAGCGTGAATTCAGGGACCCTTTGGGCAGCAACTCGGTGGGGATTCAGTACTCCGTCGGTCAGCAGTTGGAAGTTTCCGAAGGAAATTTCACTCAGGATGAAAAGACCCCTGGTTGATCATGGGGGCATTCAGACATCCGTCAATTCATGTCCCGCAACCACTTTTCAGCCTTCCATCTTCATGGTTTGGAGCCCGACGGTTTGATGGCGTTCCCGGGGTGGTTTCCAATACCCTCGGACCAGTGGGTTCCAATACCCAAACCACCAATCCAAACCACCAATTGCGGGCAACCTGAGGTTTGTCCAAAATCAATTTGAGAAAGCTCCTAAAAGTGATCCAAAACAAGACTCAAAACACGACACGAATGCTTGACTCAACCCAACCCCCAAGACCCAAGCTGAAACAGATTGACAAATTAAAATAGGGGGATCCCTGAAAATGGCTTGGGGCTCCTTTCCCTGTAAGGCCCTTTCAGGCCCCTCAGACCCTCTGTTCGTCGGGGGCAAAAAAGGGGTCCTCGTTTTCCAGCCGGGACATCAACCAATCGGAGGGAAATGCTCTCCTTATAAAGAAGCCTTTGTTTCATACTTCGGGGAATATCTGAAGATGTCAACATTCTTCGTGCTGCTACAAGAGACAAAAATGAGAAGGAATGAGCCCAAATCGCAGCGAGCAAGAAATCTCATTCTTGGTGGGTTTGCGTGGGGCAAGAATTTCAGCAGTGGATGGACAAATCCTGCACATGTGAAGAACCGAGAGGCTTGATTTCCGCATCTATTTCTGGTTGGGGCTGTCGCTTGCTACGCTTCATTTACCCAAATGCATTTTGTCTCATGTCCTCCCACAAAATCCAAAACCCTTGAAGGTGAAGTTTGGTTCCCAACAAGGTCATACATATTCCAGGGCTGCGAGATTCCCATTTCGGCCAGGCGATGGAGTCGGACCAAGCGACACACAAAAAAGAAGAAGTGCACAACCACTTAGGATTGCCTTCCTTGAGGGGTGCGGTTAGGTGGCTGGTGAGAGGCTACAGCATGGGTCCCGGGTGCCCCGGCCGTGCCGTTGATGTAGAGCAACGGCATCTCCAGGCACTGCAGGAGGTCCTCTCGAGAAGGGAAAGGGGAACTGATTCTGGGGAAGAGAAGGAGATTCCTCTAAACATGGTGGGTTTGTGGTTCCATACTAAAGGGGCAACCAAAGGCAAACCACCCATTTTGGTAGTTCCCTATTCAACTAAAACAACTCCGGAGAACCTTGCTTCAAAAGAGGACAAGGTGCAAATGGGTCTGTCTAAAAGTACCGTGACCCCAAAACAAAGTGATTTTCCTTTTGGCTTTCTTGCCCTTATGAAGCACACACACACACACACACCACTCGCCCCGGTGTTCAACAGCAAAACGGACCCGAAGGGCCAGGGGCCATCAAGATCGAGGGTTTCCGGGGCGATTTGAAGGGAATCGGTGTCGACTTGACTCCCGGTGCAAGACGAAAGAAGTTGACCCAAACATGTGGTTTTTTTTGGGGCCTTTGTTGGTGGTTTAAAGGAAACCCAAACGGAAGCCCCATTTGTGGGTGGCCCCCTCCAAAAACCACACCCATTTGGTTTTGCACCTTCCCACATTGCCGTGGCACATGGAGGGTACCTCGATCAAATTGCCATGGCAGTGTGGGCCTCCCTCGAACTAAGGAACAAACAACTGAACCTGCAACGGGGACATTACGGGAGTCGCTATGGGTATAAAATGCATACCAACCCTCTTTACCTATAACCAACCCTCTTCCACTATACTCAAACCACCATTCATACTGTATAACCGCCATTGTTTGCGGTTCAGGGTCATCTAAATTCGGTCCCTTGGGCATTTCTTTTCATGGGAACCGGTTCAACCCTACTTGGATGTTCAACCAACTTAAGTCATAACTATGGTTCCGACCAGGGTACCCTTCCACCAACTAACATGGAACCTGACAGATGGCGGTCCCGGAAGATCATTCTCCTTTCAAAGAGACTCCCTGTCAGGTTCCATGTTAATTGGTGGGAGGGTAGCTGGCAACTGGGGAGGGTCCCCGTAGCACGGATATAACCTACTTACCCGACCTTGCTAAAAGGGCTACACCCAGCTGGTATCCCCAACAGCCCTGGAACCTCATGGAACCCTTCCGGAACCCCTAGGTCCTCTAGAGAGGTTAGAATAACGGTACCAACTTTCTTCTGTCGTCTATTTCAGTAGGGTCCCGAACCCTCCCAACCAAAAAAGGGGTAAAGGGGCACTGGCGGACCTAGCCTTGGACCCCCGGCCTCCGTGGCCAACTGGCACCGCTCCCAGGCGCTTTGGCTTTGCCTCGCAGCCGGGCGCCGGCAGCAGAGGCACACGCCTCGATCGCGGAGATCGGAGATGCTCCCGGCTGGGCGTGTGGCGCGCCGTTTTTGTGGACTTCACCCCGAGTCACAGCCAAAACCGACCGGTAGTAAAATGGTCTACCCAGAACCATGTAGAGAAGTAACCAATTTTTGGCGAAGGCGCCCATTTGTGGTTGGGATAGCCCTTACTAACCTTCAGCTCAACTGTTCTTCCCCTGTTGGTCCGGCTTTAGTAATCGTTTAGCACTTTGTTAATATCCTACAGGGGTGGATCCGCAGATTCGTCACATCAAAAAATGTTTGCCAGATTGGATGTGCAACCAACGTCAGGTAAGTAGGATATAACCATGCTTACCAAGGAGACCAACCCCAGTTACCCTCGGTAAACGACGGTTACAACCTACCTACCTACCTGACCTTGGTTGAACATCCAAATACCTCAGGCAGCCTTCGCCCCCAAAAGTCAGAAATGTTTGCTGAGGGAATATCCAAAGAGCATGGGTGACAGGTGAAACAAATAAGCGGCCAAGATAGCCTGGCTCGTGCTCGAAGGTTCCGGTTCATTCAAACAAAACGCCTACCTGGCCGGAGAAAGGAACCACAGCTGCTTGGCGTCAGAGATCTGGCTAAGGCTCCAGAGTCACACCCTTCAATTCGCACCCCCGCGCAAGACCGGATCTTTTGGGTCTGGGTGTGGCTCGAAATTTAAAAGTGCTAGGGTTACGCAGGTTTTAGTCTTTGGTTCCACTTACCAAGGTGCCATTCCTTGGTTGACGTTGGACGTGGAGCAAAAATTCAAAATTTAGCAGTTGAGTGGTTGGATTTCAACCACTAAACCACAATAAGCAACCATGTTTCCCAACAACAACCACGATTCTGGCACCTTTTTTCCGCGACAGCCTTTTGGTTGGCTTGAGCCCCAGGGATCGTCCGACTGCGTTGCCTCAAGGCCTCCAACGTCTGGTGCTTAAAGGGGCGATCCATTCGGTACTGGCCGAGATAGCCAAGTTGCGATCGCTTTTTGCAGTCACTGTTGCTGGTTTTTGGGGCAAAGTGCATGGACAAAAACAGCCACTGGCGATCCAGGTGGCAAGTGGCTAGTAATTGAGTGAATCGTAACCCACTGAACGGAGACTTAGTTCACCACGGCAACCAAGTGGGGTATCTCACCAGGCTTACTAACCACTAAGCACAATTCCGCTTTAAGTGGGCTACCCCCCCGACAATGCTACGTTTTCGAGGGCCAGAATCAGGGACTTACCACTGATCGGTACTTGATGTGGACGATGCCCAAATCAGGCCGGCGAAATGATTGACATGTCGCCCCTGGCAAAAAATCCATTTCGCGCAAGTTGAGCACCCAGATAGATGAAACCCTACATGGTGTACCAACTACCAACCGGTGCCGATCGGTCCGGACTTTGTAAACATCCACAGCATAATGACTTGATCTGGGTTCCAAGTACGCCGAAACCCCATTCCAACGAGGCGCTTCTGATAGATCTCTACGAAGAAACCTCTTGGGCTTCCGTGGCAAGCGAGGACATCGACGGGCGTACCTCGTCATTCTGCCCAGAGGTCAGATGCTCAGAAAGTTATGTTGCACTGCCTCGGTGCTACGGCTGGCTCCGCGCGGAAAATTTGGCCAGGCGCCGAAGAGAAGACAGGTGGAGCACAAAGGCTAAAGGAACGGAAGAGACCAAAGATCAGCGAAGAGCGAAAAAGGCGGAAAAGGGCGAAAAAAAGGGCTCGCGAAAACTGAAAAAAAAACTGGGGAAGCGACAAGGGCGATGTTTCCCTTCTTGGTCTTTGGTTCCTTGAAAGCCCGCCAAACCTGGGGTACCAACTCCCAAACAGGACCCAAAAAACGACAAAGACATGATGTTCCTTCTTGGTCGTTGGTTCCCCTTTGAAGCCTCCAAAAACTGCCAAAGACGGGGGCCACGGTGGATGACGTCATGTGGGGGCCCCCGGGTTCCGGGCGCGTTCGGCTCGCCTCTTTGAGCGGCGGCAGGGAGCTGGCGAGGGGAGCCCAGGGCAAGGCCTGGCGAAGGACGAAGGCCGCCAGACGTTTCGGTTGGGGGGGGGGGGTTCTGGTTTTGTTTAGAAGGGTGGCAAGGGGGGGGGGGAGGGGGAGGGGTGTTGTTTTTGTTTAGGGGAACGAATCCCCGGTTTCGGCTGTCTTTTAAGGGAAACCACACATGTTGGGATTCCCCTGTTTTTGGTAGGGAAACCACAGATTCTGAAAATTCCCCTAGTTTGAGACACCAACTCGGAAGCAAAGGAATGACTCCGTGGGTCCTCGACCAAGCAAGTGGCCAGCAACCTAAGCTAGCAGTTCAGTGGAGTCCAGTTCGCCGAACGGTGGGGCTGTGCCTTTTTGGACCGTTGGGCTTCAAGGAGCTGACAATAGGCAAATCCGGTAGCTGCCTGCTCGCTAACGTGCGCATGACCTCAACATGTGGATGTTGATGTGCGATAGGCAAATTAATATGTTGTGGTCTTGTCTCATGCAGCATTTGAACTGTGCCAGGCAATTTGAACGCCCCTCACGCAACGCTGGGCAATCAAAGACCCGATGCGACATAGTATCTTCTGACCACAAAGCTTGCATTCCTCCTCCGCCTAGCTAGCTCCCCACCTGAAGTGCTTGTGTGCTCCGCTTGTGACCGTACCCGTGACAGGCATATGTGCACTCTTCTGATCAGCAAGCGGCAGGCTTGCAAATCCATCCTTGGTGGCCTCGTGGTCAAAGAATTTCCACCAGGCACACCCTTCCGGTGACCAACCTCCTTGGCTAACCAATGTTTCCAGAAGACGCTCAACTGAACCCCCCGAGTTCGTGGATAACTCCCCGCGCCGTCATGCGTAGTCCGACAGTTTTCAAACAAAGAGGTCCTCTAGCCTGGCTACCTTGAAAATTGCTCACTCTCTACACAAAGGCCAGCTATTGCACGATCCCTAAATTGATAGAACCTCCCGTTTGCTCGTTTGCGATCCGTTGTTTTGTGCTTCAATAGCGCGTCAAAAACCAAGCAAGACCTGGGTGTGTGTTTTTTGGGGGACCCTCCTTCAACCAATTTATCAGGGCCCGCTATGTTCAACCAAACTCACCAAAAAGGACACCTACTGTCGATGGACAAAATCCAAGTCACGCCGCCCAAGAAACCCTGAGTTGATGATTCCCCTGTAAATAACAACCCCATGGTTTCAAAGTGGTGCAAATTCCATCCACAGAATCAACCCACAACTCCCATGCCCAAAAATTCGAGTCGACCCGACTCGATTTCCTCCAGCGGCCACTGACAGGTCACCGGGGAGTCGAGCACCAACGCCTTCGCTTTTTTCGCGCTGAAGGGACACCCGAGACGCCCTTTGGGGGCCAAAAGAAAACCAGAAACCACACCAAAACGCCAAAACAAAACAAGAAGAACTGATCGGGCCCCTTTTTCCTGTTGAGGATATGCTCCCCCTCTCATACCTCTGACTTGCGCTGGGTCCCGCCAAATGAGACCTGATAAAATAGCAACCTGAGGGCGATCTTGCAGATGCTTTTTGAACTGGACCCAACCCTTGCAAACTTTTCGGTGTCAGCCTATGCCAGGCCAAACCGAGTGCCGTTCCCCTACCAAAAAGCCGCACCACACGGTCACACGGGCGGCTAAGGAATGGAGGGTTGGCGACAAGCATAATGTTGACCCCGGATTAATAAACCCTTGTTTGTTAATATGGGGGTGTCCAACTGGTTTTAGTGAGGATTTATCACTTTGGAGGGGTTTTCCCCCACCCCAATATTCATAAACAGGGGTTTATTCATCCGGGGTCAACATTACAGGCAAACTCGGCGTCCAACGTGGTTCACAAAGAACGGCGGTCCTCGAGGACCCTTTGCCGAACCCCAAGGATCAACCACACCCTGAAGCTCGAGTCATACAACACAAAATACATACGCACTGCAGGCACAGCACACGACATAATCAAACTGAACACAACAAACCAGGTCATATGTATATATATCTATACACATACATACATATTTGTGTGTGTGTGTGTCTTGACAAGGGGACCCTGTGGGTTTTCCTTTAGTTTCCTTCCAAGCCAACCAGAAAATCACACACACACACACACACGTCACAAATTAACAAGAATCGAAAAAGCAAACAACATATCAGCAAAGTGATTTCTGGGAGTCGAGTGCCGAAACGCACGACAAAGAATCACAAGGTCGGACATCCACATCTATTCAATGCTGGGACAGAAGTCCTCCATGAATATCTCAGCCAGGTGCTAATGTGGCTCGGGTATTCTCAAAGGAACCTCTGGATTGTTTCAAGAGGAGTCCTTAGCTGGTGTTCTGGCGCGACTAAAGGCCGTCAGACAGGCCAGATTCATCTTTTGCTTTGATGACCCCACCCCACCCACCCCTTTAAAAAAAGAAAAAAGCCCAACCCAGAAAAAATTAGAAAAACCAAGAAAAAAGAAAGAACAAAAAAACAAATCCCCAGGCCTCCCCATAGCCCAGCATGGCGCAGTGTAAGGCGCAGAGGGACCCAATGGAGCGACCAAAGAGCACCACGCCTGGCGCCATCCGACGTATGCACCAGCTGGGGGGGATTCCCTCATTTTAATGGGGGTTGAACCGTTGAACCCTAGGGTGAGCGATATCCCAATTTTCATGGATGTTTACATTGGAATTGGTTGAGTGGTAAGTAAGTAAGGCAGCTTATAACCCACTTGGGAGACTTATAATCATGGAAAGTGGGTTATAACCAGACCTACTCACCACTTACTAAGCAGCCTGCCCCTTTGTTTAGCCATGGCCAGCCGAATGCTTTGGGGTCTGCAGATAGATGTTCGAGTATTGCCTCACTTCCTGAGTGGATTGGACGGACATAGACCAAACTTTGTGAATGCTACTGCTACTAAGATAGGTTTTCAAAACAGAACTCCGGGTGTGAGGCTTTCTTGAGTGTCATGGCTATGATAGTCCATTGGTTGGACCCTGCAGAAATATATTTTGCACAAACATGTATGTCCACCGAAGGCTTTTGAGGGTTATCCCAACAAAGCTTGCAGCCACACGGTGCCACACGGCATGCTTAAGCCATGGTTCACCCTGTACTTTTGGTAAAGCTCGCCCTTCCGATCAACCTCAAACATCTGCAAACCTGTTCACTATCTCATCATTTCTGAGCCGTGGTTCAAGGGTCTGCGTTGTCAGAGCCTGGAGCGTGGCTAGACCATTCCATTGTTTGCATAGTTAGGGGGGGATGTCAACATGTTCATCGTTGTGCTATTGTTGAAAGGTTAGCCGTAGATAAAGGGCACCTTAGATCAAGTAGAAATGGAATGCTACAAATATGCACTCTATGTATACATATATATATATATACATATTATGTATGCTACCCCCCCATGGACCCTGGTTTTGCTGCCTTTGGGGATGGTAAATCACCATATATATATATATATACATATATATTGTGCCTAGATCTCCAACATACCCTGCGGAGTCTCCAAATAACCCGGGAATCCACGTTATTTGGGTGGCTTTGGTGTGTCACCTTCCGAAGCCAACTTGGACACACAACCAACATGAAGCTCAGATTGAAATCACCAAAAGAAAAGTCCATTGACCGGAAGAAGTTGGTTCTTTGGCAATTTGGAATTTGGACCTGAAATCAATCTTTATGAATAAGTATCTGTTTGGCAAGAGGTCAGATTTTGGCTCTGTATGATTCATTGACCTCTTGCAAAAAGCTAAACTTCCGGCGGGCGACATAAACCAAACCCGCTACACTCCGAAACAGCACAAGTCCAAGTCGCAGGAAACCGGTGTCCAAGCTTTTGTCGGTTCCAAGAAAAAATCAACCCTTCAGCGCCTTTAGGTTGTGAAACCGGATTTTTTTAGGGATCAAACCCGAAAGAACTGGGCTGCTTTCAGATCCCCCGCTAAAAGTCGAACTTTTAGTGGGTTAAATGGAAATCCCCACTGAACACTAAAAGGCTAAAAAGCTAAGGGGATGGATGGGAGCCACCAAGAGGAGTTGGTTCAACGCCCAAAAGACGCCCGAAAGGAGCCTCGGTGTGCTTCCGGATCGCGGCCATGTTCTTGGAGCACCGCCGGCAGCGCGTGCATGGCATCCTCCGATATGTACTGGGCGCTTGGCAAGCCCATCTGGGTTTGTCTCTGGGAAAACCCCTCAAAATGGCGGGGCTCCCGTTGGCTTTCCTTCTTTTCCAACCCCGGAAAATGCAACCCTCACAAGAAAAGCAACATCTGACAATGTTACAACAGATCCCAAACCTGAATTGAGACTTGGATCCTCCAGTGAAGAACCCACATCGCGGTCCCCCTTTTGGGACCCCTATCGAGATAGCCATGCTTCAAAGCGCTGCACTGCCGCGAACAATCCTGCGACCCTCAAACACAAACCTCAGTGGCGCGGGGACGCAAATCTTGGTTGCTGTTGACCCCCTGCAAAAAGTTGACAACTTCTTCGAGGTTTAGTGGAAAACACCTTTATTTTCCTAAAAAGTTAAAGTCTAAAGATCCAACCCAGTAGCAACCAGGCAAACAGCCTGTAAAAACACTGCGCCTGCGCATCGGACAATCGGAAAAAACGCGTGACTCGCATAGGCTACGATTCACGCTCCGCAACTTTTTGTGACACTTGCGAACGCTTTTCGGATGTTTTACGGACACGAGAGCGTGGGTCACCTGACCCCCAGACCCCAGCCAGACCAAGCTTTAAACAGGAACCCTTCTGCACGTTCGGGAAAACAAGGTCACTCAGGGACCCTTTTGGTTTTTCCAAAGGCCACGGACCTGAGTGACACGTGCAATCCAATTCCAAGACATCCGCAACGACATGACCAGAGAGAAACCCGAAAAACAATCCACGAAAAAGAAAGTACTTCAACACATCCCCAAAAACATCCCCAAAGATACAACACTTCTTCAAAAACGAGACACAAGCCGACATCTTCCACAAACCAAGCCCCAGAGGCCCGACCTGGAGACCCCCCCCAAACCCGAAAAGTCGACTTGTTGCAAAAGTTTGAAAGGAGCAATAAAGGAAATCCAAAAGATGTCAAATGAGCCCTTTGAATTTCAATGGAAAGAGTGCAAACAATTGTAACTCACCGTATTCTTCTGCAACAACTTTTGGGCAAGGTGCTTCCTGCGACTTGTTGCAACGGCATCTTTAAGTAAGAAGCGGCCTAAAACAAACTTGTTCCTTGAGTGGATTCGCCAAAGAAAGTAACCAGCCTTTGAGTCCGCAACTCAACTGATCAGTGGCTAAAGTCCCTCATTCGTGAGGTTTTTCTCTCTTTGAGAAACGATTGGCCCATGATTGGCACCAAGAATTCAATTGCTCGAGTTCTGGTCCAGATCTAGCCCGCCTGAAAAACGAGACCCCAGAGTCCAAAAAGGTCGCCAATCCCAACTTTTACACCCACCCCAAAATGTGACTAAATGCAACTAGGAGCCCCCAAATCCCAAAGCAACCATCGACCTTCACAGGTTTCCCATGAGTGAGCAGCACGAGAACTCGCCCAACTTTTGCGACACAGACCGTCGAAAGTCGGCCGGCCACAGTCAGGGTCGGGCGATCCCAGCCCCTGTAACTGAACGGACTGTTCTGTTTGCAAGACACCTGAATGACAACCTCCTTTTCATAGGTGGCCTTTTGGAAAAATAGATGGCCCTGGCAAATGGAATAACCCCCAATCCAGGGCCCTCTATTTAAGCAAACCAAACAGGACATCTATGCTCCTTTTAAAGCCGCGTACGCCCGTTTAAGCACCCTCCCGGCTTCAAGGCCCCCAAGGCCACCCGGCCTCAACTTCTGCAAAGAGAAACGCAACTCTTTCAAATCTTTCACCCATGGGGGGGAAGGGTTGGGAGGGGCCAAAGACTCCCAGCCAGCCCCCTGACGCAAGTCCGGGCCAAAAGGCGCCGGATGAGTGAGAGCTGGGGTCGGACTTGTCACGAAGCTTCTGGCTAGACCACCATGAGAAGGACTAGTATTTTTCAGGACTCATGACCAGGACTGCAAACCCATTTCGCGCAAGAAACAAAAAGTCGGCAGACATAAAAATCCCCACCATGATGTGGTCCAATCCCCAACTACCAGTCATACCCACCTAAATGGCCACGTTGCGATCGCTTTTTTCAGTCACTGGATAGCCTGGTTTCGCTAGTTTTGGGGGGTAACATGCACAACAACAACAAAAAGCGATCGCAACTGGCAATCCTGGCACCCGCAACAGCCCTCAGGAACCCGCGCGAAACCGAAAACGAAAAACCACCGCGCCTGCGCGTCACTGCGCAGTGTGGCCATGGCTGGGGAGCCGCCCGACCTCCGAATGTCTAGATTTGTTTTAACGGCTCCAGTGAGCCTTGTGACTTCCGGGGCCGGGAAAAGGGGGGAGGGTTGGGTCCTTTGGTCATTTCCTTGGGTAATTTGAGAATGTCCTTCGGTACCTTGGAGGTCTCCTTGGTAATTTCGTAATTTCCTTTGGCAATCTTGAAAGTGTTGTGCGAGAATTTGGAGGTCTCCTTCATTCACTGGTGCCCTTCGAAATATCTTAATTCTGATCCAAAAATGACGCATGAAATTGTCGGTATGTAGGTTTCCAGGACTCCCCTGCATGTACCCATTGAGCATAACCCAGGGAACTCTGATATCATTAACGATACAATTGAAAATACAACAAGGGGGAAATATGGGGTTGTTCCAAATAGGGGAACCCCCCCTCCAAAAAAAATGGTTGGTTTCCTTTTGGTTCCATATGGAGTTGTGACAAAGATGGGAACCCCCCCCCCCCCCACAATGGTTGGTTTCCTTTTAGTTCCATATGAGCCCCAAAATGGTTGGTGTCCTTTTGGTTCCCTTGCAAACCACCAAAAAAAGAACCAAGAACAGATGGAGCCACCCATACGGGGAGCGCCGTCGTTCGCGTGACGCTGGTTGCGAAATCTTTGCCAGGCACATGGTGTGCTTGGAGGGCTCTATCCATAGGAGAAGGGGATGAGGGGATCCTTCTGCTCCAAGCCATGATTGCGACTGGCCAAGAAGCCCCACAATTCAGCTTGACAGCAGTGGCATTTGGGGTACTGGAAAGCAATCCCTCTGCGAGAGGCGTGTGAACGAAAGCTAGCTAGCCCAACAACGACATGTACGACCCAGAGGCTGCCAAGATATGAAGAATACCTTGATTTTTCCAGTTTCTATTCTTTTTCCATGCACTTCACCCCAAAAACCAGGCTATCCAGTGACTGAATCTTCGGCAGCAACTTGGCTATTTCAGGTAGCAACCGGAAGGCAAGGAGAACAAGCCAAGGACTCATTTTGCGGGGGGGTTCCAACCCCCACGAGACATGGAGAACCAGCCTTCTGGAAGGCTTCGGCTTTTTTCGGCGTCGGCGGTCGAGCGGATCGGAAGTGACTTGTGTACCGATCCAATGGCCTCAACCGGCCGCTTTGGGTCAGGCAACCACCCAAATTCTGACGTGAGTGGATGGCCCACAAGAGCAGAACATAGCCGACCTGGTTCACCACCAAACTGGTCCAGACCCAAAACTTGTATGTCCAAACACCCAAAACCCGGCGTGAGCCGCCGCCCGCTTTAAAGCGGTGGTTCCAACGGCGGTTTCGACTCGGCGGTTTCGCATCGATCGCGGCATCCGCGCCAGCCGAAGCCCCGGAAGTCCAGAAGCAGCATCTGGCACTTTTGGAGCGGTGCGGGTCACGCGGCTCTTTCTTAACCCTTGCGACTGAACCCACAGAAAAGGACGAGCGGGTATGAGAAAAATCAGGGGGATTCTCCTGAAGGATGTTCCTCTAAAACTTGCTGGTGCAAGAAGGGAATGTGGGAATGAAACAGTTCAGGGCATTCCCCCTGGAAAGGAAACCACACAAGTTGGAGGGTTTATAAGGGCGATTCCCTCGGGAACCCTGCGCAGCAGCAAGTTTTTCAGCATCAGGGCCCCAACCAAAGACATTGAATGGTAAATGGTACCACGGGGCATTTCAGATAACATCGAAAGTCGGTGAGCCGTATGGATTGGCTTGGCCCGGGCCAAATCCATTCGGAGCAGCCTGGATCGACTTTGTCCAGCTGGGTTGCGGTCCGGAGCAAAAGGTCATGAGAATCCCAGAATTCTTTACAGGGTGATTCGGTCACACCCAGACCGAATCCCCAACCGACTCCATGGAAGACACTCCATGGAGTGATGGCCGTTCCAATGAGGTACAGCCTGGAATCCTGAGGAATTCTCGTCGACCTCTGCAGATGAACCGAACTGCCGGTGAATCAAACGAACGCCTCTGAGTCTCTTCCAGGAAAATTTGCGCCTTCCGAATTCCCCGGTTTTCAGGACAGGTTTCCAGAACACGGCGTAGGGTTCCTGCACATCATTTCCCAGCCAGACTTGGATCCTGCGAGCTGAAGGTATGTTAAGAACCTGTGGTCCTTTGGGACCTTTGCTGTTGAAGCCCTGGAAACCAGCAAACCATTCTCTCTGAGCCTCTAAGAATGCTCTTTGCAGGTACTCCAAAAGATTTCCTGGCAAGGTGCCTCATCGGGTCGGTCACAACGAACTCAGGAGGTTTAACACACATGGCCTTCAATAGAACATCCAGCCCGACAACCCTGTGGAGAAACAATGTGACATCACTTGAATGGATCCACATCCCTGCAGTCAGATGTTCAGATCGTTGAGTAGGGCACCCTTTTGCTACCGCAGCTTTCGCTTTCAAAACATTTGACATGTGATTAGATCCTGGCCCAATATTCACGCGAACCGCACGTAAAATGATCTGCGTGCTTTCTTACGTGTCACAGCGACTCCTCTTTTTCACGGTTCCGGGCCCTTTTTTTGTGGTTCCTGGAACCCGCGGTCAGTTACCAATATGGCAGGTGACCAAGCTGGTTCCGCACATGGAGGTAACTGGAAGCACTTGGTGTCGCAGTTGCTGAAATCCAGGCGCCTTCATCATGGGTGAGCTCGTTTTAGGTGAGCTCGACAAAAGTGAGAGCATGTCATTCTGGTTTGTGGCAAACTGGGGACTCAAAACCAAAATGATTGCCTGGTTTCCGCTTCAAGCCACAAGAAAAGGAAAAACCGTCAACAAAAAGCATCAATACATCATGTGTGTGTCTAGCTTCTTTTGCACACCTCTTGCTCCATGAAGGTTCAAGTCTGAATCCCAAACCCTGCGCATGTGGCTTCCAATGTCTGATCTCTCGGGCACCCTTTGTCTTGCTGATGCGATAAGCAGGGAATGTGGGAATTAACCGTTCAGGGGATCCCCCTTAAAGGAAACCACAAGTTGGATGGTTTATACGGGTCATTCCCTCAGTCCCTCAGTCCCTGCTTATCTCACCAGCCAGTTTTGGGGGTCTTGATCTTTCTTACAGGCCCACCAAAAACCGGCTTTGGCATTTGAGTCATAATCAAAACCCGGCACTCAAATGGTCGACCCAGAACCATGCTTCAAGAATGAAGAAGGCGGAATTCGGAATTCGGAATTCCGCAGCTCTTTATGGCAAGGGGCAATCCCCCTCGCTAACCGTCATTACCCGAATCGGAATTTTGAGCCATGTGGCTCATTTGGGACGTCCGGGTCCCAAGCGAGCCACGGCTCGCTCCACGAAGCGAAAGGAAGCTGCGCCTCAGCCAGGCCAGATGCCACCAGGTCTTGGAGCTCGGACCTAAACTTCGCGCAGCAGCCGGAGGAGGTTTTTGGGCTCCGTGGGATTTGTTTTTTTTCCGGAGGCGCCGAAAGGGAAGGTGGGTCTTGTGTCTTGTTGGTGTCCCTCTACGGGTTGATTCCTGTTCGATTCTTTTCAACCGTCGTTCTTTTCAAAGACCTGGGTGTTTGATGGTTTCCTGAAAAGATTCAAATCCCTGGAAAGAATGGGGAAGGTACCCCTAGAGTTCCTTTAAACCAGACCAAGGGTAGCCTCAAAAGCCAGACACCTGTGGGTCGCCCCTTTTTGCGGGAACTCTTGGCTTGGGGGGAACCCCCTGTAAAGGAAAGGGACCTCCTCTGGAGGGCAAAATCCTCCATTTGGGTTTAGTCATCCCCTTAACTTTACTTATCCGCATATTGTGCACCCGACCAGCGCCACTTGCGCCCTAAATCAGGGGTACGCACATCATAATAATATTCAGATTCCGGTCCGCATGTTGTCCACCCTAAAAATATACAAACATCTGTTAGATGAAACAGGGAAACTCACTTTTCACTTTAAAGCGAAATATTGGGAACCCTGTGAGACCCACCCCAGTTAAGTGCCTGGTTCACAAAACTATGGGCACCGACATAAGACATGTCCGCCCAAAACGAGTGTTTGTTTTCTTTTGGTGTCCCTTTACCAACTCAAAACGAGTGTCATCTTTAAGGTTGGACCCCACCTCCTCCCCCCAACTTAAAAAATAAAACTCGACACCCAACCCCCCCCCCCCCTGAAAAACAACTAAAAAAAACAAACTCGACACCCAACCCCCCCCCCCCCTCCCTCCAAAAAAACTCTACAAAAACAAACTCGACACCCAACCCCCCCCCCCCCCTCCAAAAAAAAGAGGAACAACAACAAAAAACTCGAGCAACCCAACCCCCCCCTCCAAAAAAAAAAACACGAGGAACAACAACAAAAAACTCGACCAACCCAACCCCCCCCCCCTCCAAAAAACACGAGGAACAACAAAAGGAACTCGAGCAACCCAACGCTCCCACGAAGCCACCGGGGCTCTCGCTGGGCCGCCAAGCCGGCGAGCTCCGCATTGCCGCCCCAGCGCACCACCAAGGGCGCGGAGGCCTCCTGCGGTCGAAAGTCGGTCGGCGGGTGGTTGCGTCTGACCAGCTTCCTTTTTGGGGTTGAGAAAAGCCCATTGGGTCTGGGCGTTCATTTGCTTCTTTCTTGTTCTTTTTTTTTTGGTTTCTTTTCTTACACAGCGATTGGGTCAATTGCTATGAAAACCCATCACCCCGATTTGTGTAAGAACCCTGCCACTGGACGACGATCAATTTGCAGCTCTTGAAATCGCCCACGTTTCGAGGTAGGGCCTTGGGAAGGGCCTTGGGAAGGGGAGGGCCTTGGGCTGTTCATAGTCCAACCCCTCCCCACCTTTCAGCCTAAAACTGAAAAACTGTCAAGCGGAACAAGCTGGGGTGGGGGAAGAGGACTTTAGGATTTAGGCTTGTTCCATTTGGCTGCCACCAGACTGCACGTCAGACCGGGCACACCAAACTTCGCAAGCCTGAAAAAAAAAAAAACGGAATCCCCAAAGAGCGCTCCGCAAGTGGAGCGCCGCCTACCCCCGGATCTTACCGCCGGGTCGAAAGCTCGAAAGGCCTTCGATGAAAGCCGGGTAGAGTTGCAGGGAAGAATTTCGTGGGAATTTGGATTCTATGATTCCGGAGAATTTCCCGGAGTTTGGATGCCAGATGCAGTGGGGGATTTGTTTTGTTTGGGGAATTCGGAATTTTCTTTGTGGCCTATGATTTAGTTTCCCACAGTCTGGAGATTGTCTTTCACCACAAACAGGTATATGGGTGCGTCCTTTTTTTAGCAGGCCCCTATTTTTTGGGGGTGCTCGTTTTGGGGGGGTTCCACTAAAACCGCCAAAGAAAGGTATGGGAACGGTTCCTGACAAACCATGCAAAAGGGGCTGAACACCTAATGGGAGCGGCTTGTATAGATTGAAGTGGGGGTACAGTGTCAAAGTTACATGGGTTGGTCTCAAAATGAGCTTCTTTTTGGTTCTCCCTGTAAAACCACACATACCCACATGCCGAAGTCATTGAGAACTATCCCTTTGCCAAGGACGCCAAAAGACTCCTACCTGGGCTGTTCCTTTGCCCCCTACTCCAAATACCCGGATAGGGGTATATGTCAAAAACGTGCTTTTAAACGTTGACATCATACCGTCTGCGAGGTAAGGGGCACCTTGTTGTGCACTCCACTATTTCGCCACTACCAGTTTCAGAGGCACACATTTATGCGGGGGGCGACCCCAAAAAACACCTGACAAACCACTCATTGTATGGAATGCTTGAAAGTTCATTCCACCAAATTGCTGCTTGGTAGATTTTCCTCAAAGGGAAAATGGGAACGATGAAGGGCGCACCCACCGCCTGGCAAGCCTCCAGAAAACTTATGCCACAGCATCAGATCCTGTGGAACTTTGGTTTCCTGGCGGTCCCGTTGAAAAAAAGAGCACCAACAAAAGGGCGGACCGACCGCCTGGCAAACCTCCAGAAAATCGCACCCTACGGAATTTTTGGTTTCCTGGTGATTGCGTTGAACAAAAACAAAAAAACAAAAGGGGGAAACCTCGAATTTCAGGCCACCCGTCGTGTCAAGCCGACCGGCGCTCTCACAAGCGGGCGAGAGCGCGGCGTGACCGGGCCCTGCCTTCAGCAACAGCACCTGGGTGCGCAAAACTTTGCAAAGCCGACGGGGGCCCTGAAAGTGGTTGCAGCTTGAGGGATTCCCCAAATTACTTTTGGGGCGATTGTCCTATTGCAGCATCATGTAGGTAAGTTCGAGATGTCACTTTACTGGATGCAGCCACCAACGTTTTCGCATGGGAAGCATGGCGGCAACGCCCTCTTTTCGCGCTTCTTGAAGGGAAACCTAGGACCTTCCTTCTGTTGGTATGCTGTGGTCAGCATGCTGAATTTGGCGTGCCATCGCTGCCTATTTACTTTACTTACCTGTTCATCCAATTATTGATGTTTTGATGGGCTAGTTGTATTTTGTTCTGGTCGTGCTGTTTACAGCTACATAAAAGTAGATGGCACAATCTTCCCATTTCGGTCTAGTCTAGTCGTCCGCTTTGCTTACCCACATAAAGAAACGTGTGCCATTTACTTTCACCAAACCGGTTTTTGGTTCGACTCTCTTGATGGGTCTGCACAGAGTGACTCAGTCCTCGGATTGGCCTCCAGCCATCAGAGTCCTCCCATCCCTCATTGGAAGGTTGCCAGTTGCAACCCTCGCAGTTGCTGACCATATCGACCGGGTCCACTCACGGATCAAATCGAAAGGTAATCGAAAGGTCAAAGGCCTTCTGCAAGCAGGTCATGCTTCTACCTGCTTTTGTGTTTCTGCCCTTCGGGATCCTTTTACAGTTGAGTCACGGTACCTTCAAGTTGCTTCCGAAAACACAAACAAATCAGGATATTTGATGGTAACGTCCTTCTGAAAACGACCTAAAGAATTGCCAATTCAGCAGTCATCTACCTTCAACTTGCCAAAGGTGACACCATCAAAGCGTATCTAACGGTCAACGTCAAGAGGAAGAAAAGCCAACAGCTTAGCACATGGATGTCTCTGTCTCGCCTAAGGGTTTCACATTAGTGCCAAGGCCAAACGCGTCAAACCCAATCCAGACCCGCTCCAGTAGCCTCCTCTAAATCGCAATCCCTGACACACCTCTAGGTCGTCTTAAACGAAAGTACCCAATCAATTTAGGGATCCACAAAACACCCCTTGTCACTCGTTTTCCCAAGCGAAACCATCCAAAATACACGTTTTCTCAAGGGAAACCAACAAAAAACCAAGTTTTCTCCAGGGAAAAGCAACAAAAAGCCACACATTTCGGCCGGTCAACCGACTTTCCCACGACCCCCACGACCCCCACGACCCCCACGACCCCCACGACCCCCACGACCCCCACGACCCCCACGACCCCCACGACCCCCACGACCCCCACGACCCCCACGACCCCCACGACCCCCACCTCGACCCCCGCGCCCGGGGCCCCGCGCGTAGCCCAGCGCCGTGCCGTCGCGCGCCGGGAGCGCGCCGCTGCAGAGCTGCACCGCACGCGCGGCGGCCGCGGCGCGCGGCGCCTGAGGAAGGGCTCCGGAGGATTCTGCCGGTGCAACGCGCCATCCGAGAGACATGTACTAAGTGTCTCAAAATGTGTATATATATATATATAGCGTATGCATATATACATATAGGTATATATGTATATATTGTATGTCTATATCCCTGTATATATATACACATATGTATATATACATATATATGTATATATATATATGTTGTATGTGTATTTATATATATATATGTTGTATGTGTATATATATATATGTATGTATGCTTGTATGTATTTCCCAAGGTTTGCGAAAAGGGCGAGGGTGGGCCAATATAGTTGCTCAGGTTTGATGGCTCGAGACCTCAGTTGAGCGGATTGTAGTAAGGCCTATATCAACCTTCTCACCATGGCGAAACCAGATGAGACCAACACCAAGGCTTAAGGCCATGGGTACAGCCGTGGCTCAAAGCCGGCCCAAAATTGTGGCTGTCCTTTGCCTTGAAACAGGACACCATGTGGGTGAACTATATTTTTTCACCAGCCTGAAATAAGGAATAAGGTGGTTGGGGGCTATTCCCCACATAAACCACCATTTGGGGTGAGGTCGTTTGAGGTCGTTATAATTCACCCAGACACCATACCTCAAAGACGTGGGCCTAGGCCCAATGGAACGACTTCCATGGAATTTTCGGCCGGCTTGGCTTCCCGAGTCAGAAGGTCGATTCGCTTGGGGCAACCGAGAATTTGAAGCGGCTTGGTCTTTGACACCCCCCCCGCAAAACAGAAAGAAAGAAAGAAAGAAAGAAATAAAGAAAGAAAGAAATAAAGAAAAGAAGGAAGAGAGAAAGAAAGCAAGAAAGAAAGCAAGAAAGAAAGCAAGAAAAATAATCAAAGAAGTGGCTGTTGTTTGATAGTAAGAAAACTATGTTTGTTCCAAAGGTGCAACAGGGCTCTCATATCATGCCATGAATGAATTGTCCATGCTCGCCAGTTTGGGGAGGAATGCCAACTACACTCGTGTCAACCCGACTGGAGCAGCAAAGGATCATTCACAAACCCGAAATCAAAAAAAACCCACCATAAGCTGCATGGATCAAATCCTTCAGCTCGCCTCCATGCGCCGGCGCACGAAGGCGGCTCCGGCCGCTTCCTCTCGGATGGATCTTCCGCGGGTGGTAATTCTGACCCTGGATTTGTTTCCCGTCCGATTGATAAACGGGGGTTGTCCACAGCCTCAAAAATATGGCTGTGGTTGGTTCAGGGGAAACCCCCCAAAAGCGATTTTGAGAAGACACACCAAAGTCTTGACTTACTCCTCTTCAGGTTACCGTGTCCTACAAGCAAAAACGTTGAGTGGATGGGTCAAAAATGTTCAAACTTGTTGGTCCAGCCGGTCCCAAAAATGTATCAAGACCAGAAACTCAGGAAGTGAGGTAGTGTTGAAGGAAAGCCCAAGGGAAAGACAAGCAAAACCCAAACGCGAGGGTCCCTTTTTTCTGATGGAAAAATATAGGTCCGGATTCGCTTCGTTTCAGATCGGCGCTTTTCAGCTCGTTTCTGAATGGAACCCTTTTGGTTTCCCCATACCCAGCTTCCGCAACCTTCCAATGGAGATCTGAATGGCCAAGAAGTGCCTGTTCCGAAGGTCGCTTCAACAACTTGACAGCCGTCGGGGAGTGGTTAGGGCTCCAAGATAATTGTGTCTGTTTCTGCTTGAGGGCAATTGCCCTTCTCGGATGGTTCTACAGGGAAACCAAAGGGTAACCACCCGTTTGGGGTGCTGCTTTTTCTCGAGTTGGTGGTCTTCCCTTTGGTTTCTCCTTCAAACCAGCAACAAAAGGGGTTCCCCCCAAAATCAAGACACCCCCATTTAGCCCCCAGTTTCCCCTCAAACGAGAACACCCCGGACCCGCCCTCGATGGGATCCATCGCTGAGCCGCCGCACCGCCCGCGGCATCTGCTTTGTCAACTCCCGCAGGGCAGCTGCTGCCGGGCCCTGGCAGTCTTCCAATTCTAGGGGTACCTTCCATTTACATTCTAGTATTCGTGCGCCGCATGGAGGCGAGCTGAAGGATTACTCCACGCAGCGTGTGGTGGGGTTTTTCTAGGGGTACCTTCCATGTCCATTCTTCCAGGGATCCTTCTTTTTAGAAAACCTAAAGAAATCCAGTGAAAACAACTGGTGTTTGAAAAGAACGATGGTTGAACAGAATGGGGAATTCAACCCCTAGAACAATGGGTTCTGGCCCATTCAATGAAGAACCTGTACCTATTCTTGGCTTCTCAGTGCAAGGCGCTCTTGCTTTTGTGTGGGCGGCCTCCTTCTGTTGTGCCGCTTCGGTGGGCCTGAGAGAGCAGGCTAGCCGTCACATTGCATCCAACCTCCGCGCAGGACGCGTTTGCCTCGTGCGCCACCAGTGTCTCCAGGTCCTGTCTGGCAAGAACAAGTTGTCTCGTTGCGGGCGGCGCTTGCCTCATCCCACATCTCTGGCTGCGCGGCTTTCTTGCCGCTGGCGCGTGGCTTGGCCTCGACGCTGGTGCCTCACAACTGTTTTGTCCAGCCCTGCAACTCAGCGCGCAACTTTGGGTTGTTTGACGGGCACTGGCACCTGCAAGTTGCTGACTTGCAGTGTAGTTTGTTCACGCGCGCCGCATCTCTAGCCTGCTCGCCCGGAGGGGTGTCTGAGGTGGTTCTTTTTTCCGCGTTAGATTGCGGCAAAGGCGACGGGACTTTTCGCTGTAGCACGGGGCTGGCCGCGCCGACTTGCCTTTTTTGTGACGCGCGTTCGGCCATTCGAATTTTGTTCAGGGCGCCGAGGCCTTTCTGCTTCAGCTTCTGGCGGGGCAGGCAGGGCCCGAGTCTTTTTATTGCCCGGAGTTTGCTGCTGTAGCCTGTGGCTGGCCAGCTCGGGTTTTCGAGGTTCCTAGATTTTTGGGGCTCGAGTTTGGACGGCCGGCTTTTTTGCCTCAGCTCGCGGCTGGTTTTTTAAGTACTTGGACTCTTGCGTGACCTTGCGGTTGCCCGGGCTTGAGCTCCTCGAGCGCAAACCGCTCGAGCGTCTGGCCGGTGGCTGGGCTCGAGACTTTGAGTGGCGTCTCCAGTGGCTCGAGGATTGAAAGCGCCTAAGTTTTTTTTCTGCTGTGCGCCGGGCTCGAGTTTTGAAGGTGCCAGGATCTTTGTTTTAGCTTGCTGCTGGCCGAGCCGGGTTCGAGTTTTGAAGGTGCCAGGATCTTTGTTTTAGCTTGCTGCTGGCCGAGCCGGGTTCGAGTTTTGAAGGTGCCAGGATCTTTGTTTTAGCTTGCTGCTGGCCGAGCCGGGTTCGAGTTTTGAAGGTGCCAGGATCTTTGTTTTAGCTTGCTGCTGGCCGAGCCGGGTTCGAGTTTTGAAGGTGCCAGGATCTTTGTTTTAGCTTGCTGCTGGCCGAGCCGGGTTCGAGTTTTGAAGGTGCCAGGATCTTTGTTTTAGCTTGCAGCTGATCGAGTTTTGAAGGTGCCAGGATCTTAGCTTGCTGCTGGCCGAGCCGGGTTCGAGTTTTGAAGGTGCCAGGATCTTTGTTTTAGCTTGCTGCTGCCGAGCCGGGTTCGAGTTTTGAAGGTGCCAGGATCTTTGTTTTAGCTTGCTGCTGGCCGAGCCGGGTTCGAGTTTTGAAGGTGCCAGGATCTTTGTTTTAGCTTGCTGCTGGCCGAGCCGGGTTCGAGTTTTGAAGGTGCCAGGATCTTTGTTTTAGCTTGCTGCTGGCCGAGCTTCGAGTTTTGAAGGTGCCAGGATCTTTGTTTTAGCTTGCTGCTGGCCGAGCCGGGTTCGAGTTTTGAAGGTGCCAGCTTGCTGCTGGCCGAGCCGAGTTTTGAAGGTTTTAGGCTCTGCTTGCTGCTGGCCGAGCCGGGTTCGAGTTCTTTGTTTTAAGCTTGCTGCTGCCGAGCCGAGTCTTTTTGTTTTAGCTTGCTGCTGGCCGAGCCGGGTTCGAGTTTTGAAGGTGCCAGGATCTTTGTTTTAGCTTGCTGCTGGCCGAGCCGGGTTCGAGTTTTGAAGGTGCCAGGATCTTTCGTTTTAGCTTGCTGCTGGCCGAGCCGGGTTCGAGTTTTGAAGGTGCCAGGATCTTTGTTTTAGCTTGCTGCTGGCCGAGCCGGGTTCGAGTTTTGAAGGTGCCAGGATCTTTCGTTTTAGCTTGCTGCTGGCCGAGCCGGGTTCGAGTTTTGAAGGTGCCAGGATCTTTCGTTTTAGCTTGCTGCTGGCCGAGCTAGGCTCGAGTTTTGAAGGTGTCAGGATCTTTCGTTTTAGCTTGCTGCTGGCCGAGCTAGGCTCGAGTTTTGAAGGTGTCAGGAATTTGTGTTTTAGCTTGTGGCTGGCCGAGCCGGGTTCGAGTTTTTAAGGTGTCAGGAACTTTCGTTTTAGCTTGCTGCTGGCCGAGCTAGGCTCGAGTTCTGAAGGTGTCAGGAATTTCTTGTTTTAGCTTGCTGCTGGCCGAGCCGGGTTCGAGTTTTGAAGGTGCCAGGATCTTTCGTTTTAGCTTGCTGCTGGCCGAGCTAGGCTCGAGTTTTGAAGGTGTCAGGATCTTTCGTTTTAGCTTGCTGCTGGCCGAGCTAGGCTCGAGTTTTGAAGGTGTCAGGAATTTGTGCTTGTGGCGAGCCGGGTTCGAGTTTTGAAGGTGCCAGGAACTTTCGTTTTAGCTTGCTGCTGGCCGAGCTAGGCTCGAGTTTTGAAGGTGTCAGGATCTTTCGTTTTAGCTTGCTGCTGGCCGAGCTAGGCTCGAGTTTTTAAGGTGTCAGGAACTTTCGTTTTAGCTTGCTGCTGGCCGAGCTAGGCTCGAGTTTTGAAGGTGTCAGGAATTTGTGTTTTAGCTTGTGGCCGAGCCGGGTTCGAGCCAGGTTTTAGCTTGCTGCTGGTTCGAGTTTTTTGAAAGTTTTGAAGGTGCCAGGATCTTTCGTTTTAGCTTGCTGCTGGCCGAGCTAGGCTCGAGTTTTGAAGGTGTCAGGATCTTTCGTTTTAGCTTGCTGCTGGCCGAGCTAGGCTCGAGTTTTGAAGGTGTCAGGAATTTGTGTTTTAGCTTGTGGCTGGCCGAGCCGGGTTCGAGTTTTGAAGGTGCCAGGATCTTTCGTTTTAGCTTGCTGCTGGCCGAGCTAGGCTCGAGTTTTGAAGGTGTCAGGAATTTGTGTTTTAGCTTGTGGCTGGCCGAGCCGGGTTCGAGTTTTGAAGGTGCCAGGATCTTTCGTTTTAGCTTGCTGCTGGCCGAGCTAGGCTCGAGTTTTGAAGGTGTCAGGAATTTGTGTTTTAGCTTGTGGCTGGCCGAGCCGGGTTCGAGTTTTTAAGGTGTCAGGAACTTTCGTTTTAGCTTGCTGCTGGCCGAGCTAGGCTCGAGTTTTGAAGGTGTCAGGAATTTGTGTTTTAGCTTGTGCTGGCCGAGCCGGGTTTAAGGTTCTTTCGTTTTAGCTTGCTGCTGGCCGAGCTAGGCTCGAGTTTTGAAGGTGTCAGGAATTTGTGTTTTAGCTTGTGGCTGGCCGAGCCGGGTTCGAGTTTTTAAGGTGTCAGGAACTTTCGTTTTAGCTTGCTGCTGGCCGAGCTAGGCTCGAGTTTTGAAGGTGTCAGGAATTTGTGCTTTAGTTTGCTGCTGGCCGAGCCGGGTTCGAGTTTTGAAGGTGCCAGGATCTTTCGTTTTAGCTTGCTGCTGGCCGAGCTAGGCTCGAGTTTTGAAGGTGTCAGGAATTTGTGTTTTAGCTTGTGGCTGGCCGAGCCGGGTTCGAGTTTTTAAGGTGTCAGGAACTTTCGTTTTAGCTTGCTGCTGGCCGAGCTAGGCTCGAGTTTTGAAGGTGTCAGGAATTTGTGTTTTAGCTTGTGGCTGGCCGAGCCGGGTTCGAGTTCTGAAGGTGTCAGGAACTTTCGTTTTAGCTTGCTGCTGGCCGAGCTAGGCTCGAGTTTTGAAGGTGTCAGGAATTTGTGTTTTAGCTTGTGGCTGGCCGAGCCGGGTTCGAGTTTTTAAGGTGTCAGGAACTTTCGTTTTAGCTTGCTGCTGGCCGAGCTAGGCTCGAGTTTTGAAGGTGTCAGGAATTTGTGTTTTAGCTTGCTGCTGGCCGAGCTAGGCTCGAGTTTTGAAGGTGTCAAGAATTTGTGTTTTAGCTTGTGGCTGGCCGAGCCGGGTTCGAGTTTTTAAGGTGTCAGGAACTTTCGTTTTAGCTTGCTGCTGGCCGAGCTAGGCTCGAGTTTTGAAGGTGTCAGGAATTTGTGTTTTAGCTTGTGGCTGGCCGAGCCGGGTTCGAGTTTTTAAGGTGTCAGGAACTTTCGTTTTAGCTTGCTGCTGGCCGAGCTAGGCTCGAGTTTTGAAGGTGTCAGGAATTTGTGTTTTAGCTTGTTGCTGGCCGAGCCGGGCTCGATTTCTTTAAGGCGCCAGGAATTTTGTTTAGCCGGGCCAAGCTCGAGTTTTTTAGGGGCCTGGATTTTAATATAGCTTACTACTAACCGACCCGGGCTCGAGTTCTTTAAGGCGTCAAGAACTTTCGTTTTAGCTTGTTGCTGGCCGAGCCAGGCTTGAGTTTTTAAGGTGTCTGGAATTTTCGTTTCAGCTTGTTGCTGGTCGAGCCGGGCGCCAGGAAATTCGTTTAGCTTCTGGCTGGCGGGCCCGGCTCGAGTTGTTTAAGGGCCTGGGTTTTCTCCTCTAGCTGCTGCTGGCCGAGCCGGGCTCGAGGTTTTAAGGTGTCCGCCTTAGCTTGTCGCTGGGCAACCCAAAACCTGGGAGTGGAACCAGGTTCGTCTTCAAACTGGGGCCTTCTGCTCCGTTGCACCTGCAGTCCTGCACGCATGCCGGCCAAATGGTGAGAACCAAATGGGCCCCTGGACGCTTCCCCTACTTAAAGCGGCAGCAGGTGCGTCAGGTACGTCAGGTAAGCCTGGTGAGCTAACCCACAAAAGCCATGGCTAGAAGTCTTAACCATGGTTGCTATCCACTTACTGAGAACTGAGTACAAGGTTCCTTTAAGTAGGATTTGAATCTGTTCTTGTGTTCTCTTGGTTCGTTGCTTCATCAATTTAGACAAGGGCGAAGGTTCACCCAGCCTTCTGCTCCCGTCTGGCGTTGCTTCTTTGTTTTCCTTTTTCCGGTCTCCAGATCTGGACCTATGTTCTTCTGGCTTCCTCGTGAAGCGGATCAGCAAGGGGAAGCGTTGGCTTCCGAGCCTTTATTCTGCAGCTCGGTTGGCACTCTTTCCGTGCTCTGCGTGTGAATTTAATGTGTCCCAGTCCACGTGGTGGGCATCATGTGGGTGGGGATTCATTTAGCTGCCAACCACTTGAGGTGCTTCCAACTCTTCAAATTCCTAGCCATACGGCCATGGTCAAAACCGCAGTGAACATCCCAATTTCCCCACTGAAAATTCAACTACCAAAATGGGATCCCAAAACGGTTTTGACAACCACGGCCATATCCCCGACATCCACGCAACCTCCATAGCGGACACTCATGCCAGAAGATGCAACCCCCAGGTCACCCCCATGAGCTCACCAAAGAAACTGGTCAACTCGCCGCACAAGGCCGGTGAAAAGTCGGATCCGGTTCAACCACAGATCCCTTTCTTGGGGTGAACTCCCACGGGTTCCGAGGGACTCATAACGCCGGGTTGGCCTTGAGTTGTGCCATTGCCTTCACATTCTGATGCGTCACTCGACATGGCCTTGGAAATGGTATACTGTGGGAACAATCTGCATGTGCCACGTCTGTGGCTTTGGCCCCCAGTTTGCCCCCCAGTTTGAGGTGCTATTTAGGGGGCCCTGCGCGAGGGTTGAGGTGTTTCCTTCAAGGGGGCGGGGGGCCAAGCCCGGAAGCTCCCTTTTTGGGGGAAGCTCTCTGTCAATTTCCATGATTGCCGGAGGGTGGGTTCTGCGCCGACCCTTAGGTCCGCGAAGAATTCCAAAGCAGAAAGAAAGCATGTCGCATGTTGCCTTCGTTGAGAAAGGACAAATAGTTTGCGCGCACGGAGATTGACTGGGCTTGAAGCTTGAGCTTGCAACCCAGAGAGATTTACAATCAAACTAAGTCACTTAAGTCATACTCATAGAAGGAAGATGTGAGTAATTGCTTAGGCCCTCACATAGAAGCCCATCT